AGCTGCCAAAAAAAATAAAATAAATAGAAGCAGACTTACTTCACCCATTAAATCCATCAACCCCTAGGAGATCCATTAACAAACCTACTCTCAACACCCCAAGGGTCCCACTCCCCAGGATGCTATGAGCTGTGGCCAGAATTGTCCTTCCCAGCAAATGGGAACATGCAGAGGTTTCTCCCCTTGCTTGCTAGTAGGTCTCTCCTCAATGGTTATTTATTTTTGCTCCCTGCACTCTGGCCAAGCAGCCTGCATGCTCTGACACTGCACCCCTTTCTGCACACTCCATCAGAGTGGGGCATGGCCGTGGCAGTGCCACTTCTCCCCATCCAGACCCCACGAGCTGGGAGTTTGAAAGCAAAGTGTGAGACCTGGCAGGGGACAGAGCTGGCAGCCTGCTCTGCTCCACGCAGCTCACAGAGTGAAGAGCTCTGTTAGCATGTAGCCCTTTTACTGGAATCCTACAGCCTACAGCCTCCTGGGGGACACCAACAGTAGAAGTACCTTTGAAATGAGTCCCAAACTACCCAGTGGGACTGGTGGAGAACTTGCTGTGAACGTAACTTTCCATCCCCAGGATATTTTGAGGTAGGATAACCCATAATGAGCTGATGCTGGCCCACAAAGTGCCAGACATTGCTGCACCCAGCTGAGGTCCATGAGTGCTGTTACACCGAACAGTGATGTCATAGGTGAGCATTGCTCCAGGCACCCCATGTAACACCACTGCCTATTGAACTTCCTCAAGCCTCTGCCAGGTTACAGCCTCTAATTTACAGAGAACACCTTCTTGTGCCCATGTCTCCTGCTGGCTTCCAAAAAGGCACTGTGGGCTATGGGCAAAATGGTTATAAATCCACCTCTTAATGTTATTTATAATATTCTGTGTAAGAATGGTTGAATAATGCTTACTATCATGTTTTCACTAGGCATATATATATATGTAATGTATGTGTATAATAGGCATGTATAAATCAAAGCATGGTTTCTCAAGGTACAGGCAAATAAAGTCAGCAATTATTTTCTATTTTGTTTTTAATCACCAAACTGCTGTTTTACCTCCAGATAATGACAAATATGGTTCTGACACCAGAGGTCCACATGCTCCCACTACACTCATTCAGCACAGAGCACAAATAAGTCACTTGTTAATATACCAACTGTCATGTAAGAAGCCACAGTTATGCATGATTCATTCTTACAAGCCATGTAAATCTCTGGTGTGTATATATGATAACAAATGAGTGTTACTTGATGGGAAAATGAGGACTTTCTGTACTATGGATGTCGGGCACAGCGTCAGTGTTAACACCTCCACTAACCCTCACCTTCAGGTAGATGCATTTCCAAATTCTTATCAAACATCCTCTATCATTTCAGTCTGTCAGAGCACTGGCCAGCCCAGATCCTGATTACACAGCATTGTTGGAAGGTATGAGAGCAGAGAAAGCACGTGCCTCCTCCCACAGCCCAAAACACACACCGTGCCCAGCCTTCCAGCTTTCAGTTTTGCATGATTGAATTTGGACTTGTGCCTGCTCTTGCCAGAGTGGTTACTAAATGCTGGTCACAAACTAGAAAGGAGTTGCACTGGCTCGTGGGACAGCAGGCTCTGCAGACAGCCGTCAGCAGGAGAGGTTGGAAGCAGCAAATAGCAGAGTGTCTGAGACAGCATATTGCTTGATAGAGCTGTCTGTAAAGCTTTGGGTGTTATTTCACCCACGGATGGCATTTGTATGTATGTCAGACAAAGGTAGGGGTTGGGAGATGATTGCATTTTCTTCACAGTTCTGTCCTTCTCCAAGTAAATGTCACGCTGTTAACTAGTTCTGTTCCTAATCCTGAAAACTCTCATTTTAGTGCATTTAAATATGATTTCCTAGTGTTGTGTCTTGTAGTGTGGACCACCTTGTAACCCAGTGCTTGTGAGCCCTGTGTGTAACACCTTGAAAGTGAGCAGGCTGGTAGGGAACAGAAGAACTTTCCTTCTTCAGATAAAAATACAGAGGCTTGAAATGCAAGCCAGAACGGTCCAAGGGTCAGGGGGAAAGAAGTGCTTTTGCTCAGAGGTTTTGAATTCCACTGTTAGTTATGGTATTGGATAACATCCTTGGTGTTTGCTTAGCCCCCAGTAGACAGTAAGACACAAACCCAAGCCCTGCTCACTGCTGGAATAAACTCTGCATTTTGGAAACACAGGACTCCATTGAGACAATGGTAATGTGTAAATAGGGATGGGCACAGTGCCACTTTGGGCAGGGGATTCATTTTTGATATGTGCCCTTTTCACCCACACAAAGGAAAAAGATCATCTCATTTTTTTCTTCTTTCTAGCTACAATGCTTCCTGCAGTAAAAGCTGAAGAAAATGAGTGATTTATTTCCTTTGAAAGGAATAAAATTCTTCCAATTTTTACTCCCAGTAGGGAAAGAAACTGGTGGGCAGCATGGCTGATACACTGGTCAGCCAGATTATCCAAAGGTATAGCAAGAACCTGGGTATAATTATGCTAGACATACCACCTTCATTGTGAGGTGTTATTTGCAAGGCTTTTTATCTTCTGAAAGCTTTAATTGCCTGAAACTGACTTAGAAGTTAGAGAGTATCCAGGTGATACCCTGACAGGCCACATATTAGCTTAGGCAATTCCCTGTTGTCAATCACTGTAACATACAGACACCATAACATGCCACAACTCAGTCTGATCTTTTTTCCTCTCCCTCTCATTCTACTCCTGCTCAGTTGCATGACCAGATGTGCTGCAGGGTTAGTGCAGCAGCTTTCCTCTGACTGTTCTGGTGCACTTCCTTGGCACATGGTTTACAGTTGAAAGATGAATATAAGTGGTGGCATTCATACAAGGGCAGAGCAGATCTTTTGCTTTCTTTCTGCTGTACAAATTTTGCAGGGCAACCTCTTGTCAGTCACACTCCCCTCCTGTTCACATCCCTGCAGTGCAGTTTTCATGCAGGGAAACACAATGTACTTTGCTCTATTCCCTGGGGATTATCATACATACACATCAGGAAAGTGTCTCTTTGTCTCTGTCTTCTTAGTTCCTCCACTTCCAGTTTCAGAGCTGCTCACACATTCCTTAAGATGTTTCTCCCTGCAGTGCATGCTGAGTTATTAACAGCATCTCAGCTTTACGGAACTGCAGCTAAGAATGAGGCTTCAAAGACCTCTAGGTTTCTAAGCTGTGTTACCCAGTTTGCTTTTCGTAACACTGAAAACCCAAACGTCAGTGATGGGCTTGAGGCCAGACTGGCAGTGAAAGAGGTGGCACTTCCCTGCTGGAGACAGAAAAGCACAGGGAAAACCATAGCAATGCACAGCTGGCATTGCAATGACTCGGTTACAAGCAACCAGGTTCTCCTAAAAGCAGAATCCCTCCAGCAGGAATACCTACTGCCCATCTGCAGAGCAGACAATGAGGGACATTTGTTTGGGAGCCTGTGGTCCAAGGGGATCAAGAGGCCAGCAGTAGAGAGCACTATGGCATCATCTCCAAAAGAGAGACAGCTGTTGGAAACACATCTAGCAACCAGGCCAAGTGGGACAGACAAAAGAGATTTGAAAGATGTCCAAGATCCTGACCTCCTGTCTGAATCAGTGGGTATGTTTTTCTTTGATTTTTTTATATAGCAGATTGAAGGCGTGGTAGAAAACTTGCTGGGGTTATTGCCTCTTCCTTGCCTGTTTTTCCTCTTGAGTCTGGGTAAATGTTTTTGTTTGGAAGGCTTGCTAACAAGCTGAGGTTTTCATCTCAGTAGGTCTGCCAGTAGTACAGGACGTTCCCCTGGATTTGTGATTTCAGTGCAGGATTTTCTTTAGAGAGTGAGGAATTTTTTATTAGAACCAGCCAGCCTACAGAACTGAGCTGTATCTAAAAATAGAAGGGGTTGCTTTTTTTCAGATGTTAAAAATAGAGATGTATAGAAATGGTCATGTATAGGCTGCTTTTTACAAGTAGGCAGAGGTGCTCTGAGTGGAAACATTTGCTATCTGCCATCTGAGCGAGGAACAGCATTTCAAAATGCCATGAGCTGCTGCTTACAAAGAATTAAGAGGAATCTAATAACTCTGGATGGACTGAAAAATGGAAGTGGGACCACACTGGAATATACACATCTGTGTAAATTGTCCCAGATCCCAGGGGAAGAATAAGCCATGGTCTTGTTAAGCACGGGCACCAACAACTCGTCAAAGATGGGATGGTGCAATGGGAGAGATGGAGCAGAATGATTCCACAAGAGCCCATCTAGATCTCCTATCCTGGTCCCTGCTCTGGAGCACTGCTGAAAGCTGCATTCCCTCCAGCATTGCTAAAAAGCTTACCAAGCCCCATTTACCCCCTGCACAGCTCCTGAGTGTTCACCCACATCACAGAAGCCGAGCGCTGAGCAAAAAACACAGACCTCAGTGGGGAAAATGCTCCTGGAGACACTTTCAAAAGCAAACAGAACTTGCACCCATTTAGAAAGAGAAGTTGTGGCTTTTGGGGAGATCTGGCACGGTGAGGATCTTAGAAGGACAGATGGATTTTGTTTGCTGTGCTCTTTTTATTCCACGTCCTTCACAGCTAATTTGTGGTCATACTGATCTGCCATGTTATAGCTGAGATGTTCAAAGCTGTTAAAGTGATTTGGATAAGAAGCTACCAATAACTGGAATAGGAATTTGGCATCCAGATTTGTTAAAAAGAGGAAAAAATCTCAGCCTAGAAGCCTAGATGCCATTTGAAATCTACTACATTTGAAGTTCTGTTAAGTGCTAATAAGTTATTTCAAATGAAAAAAAAAAACACCCTAAAATTTATTTTAAAAACATATTTGCAGCAACTAATTGCCCTATAAATACTCAAGGCAGACTTCACAGGGCACAGCTCAGACAGTAAGAAATGCTGTAATACACTACCCCAACTCATCTAAATAAGGGACTGCTGTTTTTTTCTCCTGGGCATTATAAATGGCACGCCAAGTCTTTAAGATACTTTAACCATCACCTCCCCAACCTCCCACCACTGCATCAATCCCACCCTGAGGAACCAACTGTGGCTTGAGCATCTCAGGTCAAGCATCCATGACATTTTACGAGATGGCAGTACCACGTGTGTCAGATGCAGCCCTCGATTACCTCCAGGTTAGAGACACTCATGTTTCCATCAAAGGATCTGATACTCCTTGATGTAATGGCTGGGGCGGCTCTGTTTTTATTGCTGTATAGATGTCCTTTTAGCTATGCTCCTGCGAAGCAGCCACAGTTCAGTTCAATCCACTGTAATACCAGGAGAAGAAAGCAGCCAACAGCTGCTCTGTGTCAATGGCCTTGTGGAGCTCACCAGGCTGGTTGACCTATTGGTCCAGGAGGACTGGACTGCAGAATAGGAGATTCTTCCATGCGAGAGCAGAACAGGAGCTTAAAAAGCACCGTGGGACTTAGAAAATGGGAAGCACTTTCTTGCTGGCTTGATTCTCTTTCCTTTGTAGGGCTTCTTCCTGTAGAGTTAAAAGGATGGGTAGATGAACAAAACAAAAAGTAGACCAGTCCTAGATTAAGGACACACCACGATCAAGGAATCATGGAATCACAAAGGTAACAATTTTCCATATGTTCATCAGTTTTGAATGGGGAGGGATTTGATCAGGACCTCGGAGCTGTACGTCGGCACTGCTCCTAGGGGTTGGACCAAACATGTGCAGATGGGCTGGCTCCAGCACAAGGTCCCACTCTTTGCGCACGTATTCTCTTCACTAATTCTAGGTGGTTTAGCAGCCATGCTAAAATGCATGTCTGAACAAACACGGGTTGTGCCAGGGCCACACGGAGCTATGGAGAGCCCTCTGGATGCTCAAAGTCCAAGGGAATACTCTCCATGATTTCCAGCAGAAGTTCAGCTCATTACAGTGGTTATACAGAGAGGCAGCACGTATTTAAAGCCTCATAGATATTCCAAAAGCAAAACTGAGGTTGTGTTTTATGTAACTACAAAAAGATTTGGCTGCCAGTCACTACATGGATGGTGTTCCTTTTGAAATGGAAGTCGTGCTCTGGAACAGAGTAAACACTACACAGTGCATCCACAAAGAAAAGTCACGGGCAGTAACTCTAAACTGAATGCCTCCCATTCAACTCCAAAAACCCAAGGGCTTTTCCTAGACTTTATTGCCACTGAATTAGCAGCTGCTGCTGAATAGACAGAGCTGAGTGCAATAAGGGAAAGTATGGGGAGATGGGAACTCAATGACTGGCAACATTTGCCCCTGAAAACTGAAGGAGAAGCCTCTCCTTGTCCCCTAAACAGTTCCTTTGTGCTTACCACATGCATAATTGATGGTAAGCAAACCATCCATGCTGAACTCAAAGATGCTTCATACACACTCTCACATTAGAGGAGTTGCAGGCCAGGGAAAGACCAGAGCTGATTTAGGCATCAATAATGGATGAGAAACTTCTTTAGTATAAATAAACCTGCTGGTTCACCACCGTATGTAGAAAACCTGTAAATAAAATAACTGATTATTCAGAGGCAGAGTTCCTGCAGTTTGTCTCAAGGACACATTCTCTGAGTACATGCATGCATACACACAGCCACCTGCACAGGTTTGGTGAAACACCCAATCCTCAGCAAAGAGGAACCATACCTTCAGCTAGTGATAGACTTCTCGTTCTTAAAAGGCTCTATTCCAAGAAAGCAGCTTAGAATTCCTTCTGAAGCTACTTACATATTTGTAACCTGCTTGTCCAACCAAATCCCACCATCCCTTTGGGAATTTTCATTTCTGGCAAAACTGGAATTCTCCTTTGAATGTAACTATTCTGCTTATTTGTCCAACTTCAGGGCATCACAGGGGATATATCAACACAGCCACAGACACATGCATGTGTGTATAAATATATAACTATGAAGGTGACCTATTTTCCAGCTGCAAAATACTGTCGCTATCAGAGGTTTTTGCCAGCTAGAAAAGGACATGAACCAGAGAGGAGCAGAGCAAACTGCTGTGTCTGCATTATTTAGAGCCCAGCATGCCAGGTTCACAGGTGTTCAAACTGCCCAGGAACTATTTGGCCCACTGGTATGGAAAACATGATTTTAGAGATTGAAATCAGTCAGCATAAATGGTGTTTTAACCAACCAGCGACTGCAGGACAAAGCAAAAAGTCAAGGTTTTCTTTATATTTCTTTTTATTCTTTTTTTTTTTTTTTTTTTTTTTTTTTTTTCTGTTTTTATTTCTCCTGGCACCTGCAATACTGCTTGCCTGACACTGGGAACTGCTTGCAGTGGAGAAATTTATTACCTAGAAATTTCCCAAAGTATTTGTCGGAAATGTTATTCACAGTCACAGCACTGCAGGCAGAAAAGAACCCACAGGAGGGAGAAGGACTACAAGTCAGGCTGTGAGGATGGACCACTCTTCCAAACGGAGAGGCTGTGCGTGCAGCACAACATGGCATAGTTTATATATGGCCAAGGCAGTGGAATATCTCTGGGTGAGGAAAGAAATGAGGATAGGTGAGAGATGTTGCTTCTTTCCAACGTCCTATCAGAAAACCATGGGTCAAATCTGTGGAGTAGTAGCAGCTGCCTTAAGCATAAGTTCCACCAGATTTCCATGGTGGGTGTAGGTAGAAAGAAGAGTTGCTTTGGTTTGTGCTCACCAAACATACCAAGGAGACCACGTCCTCAGCAGTTCCTTGGGACTGCCTTTGCTGAACATCTGAAGTTCAAACAGAGACTTTTGGTTCATCTCTATGTTGATTTGTGACCTTCCTGGAGGAGGGACGAATGTGGCAAATCAAAACCAGTGAGTGTCAGCCAGAAAGCCCTCAAGTCCTGGCAGGACGTGGCTGTCAGTGTCAAACTATCCAGAAGAGAAACCAAAGCCCACCAGCTATCAGCCCTCAGCTGGATCGCACCCACAGGTGGGTGGCTACAGCTTGAACATACAAATCCCAAGCAGCACCAGTGTGTGTGGGACCTGTCTAGGAGCACCTGGGCTCACCTGGTTCAATGCACAGCCTTCCTCACTGCTTCCCAGCAGCTAAAAATAAAGCAAGTAGCTGCCCTGAGCCAGAAGTCACAGCCACCATGCAGAGCTGTGCTCAGCTGCCTCTCTCTGCCCTTACAAGTCTATTATTGTCACACAGAGTGAGAAATATTATTGTAAATATCTTTCTGAATATTCAGAGGCATCTAAAAAAAAAATCTCTTTCCTCTCTCTTCCTTCAGTTCCATCTTGCTGCTAAATATATACCCAGAAGTATAGGATGGAACTGTATAAAACTGCATCACCAACTCTGAACTCAAAATCCAGGATCTAAGGAAATTTAGGACCAGGATGCCAAAAAATGTAGGTACATAAAGATGGAGTTAAGAATATTCCCAAGTGTTCAGACATGCCCAAATCCTATAATCCATTGATTTAAAGAGACTTCCATCTCCTGAATCACCTTTGAGAGCTGAAGGTCTGTCTCTGTGTTATTTCGACATAGCAAAATATGACCGTATGTTTTTGCCCACATTTCCTACATTGCACAAACCAAATTATTTTCTTTCCTCTAAATATGCATTTATAAATACACATGCACAGACTGCAGTCCTGCACTAATTGGTATTTGCAACGTAAGCACTGGCCTTTCCTCCCTTTTCGTCAATGAAAGTAAACATGATCAAAGCTTGCCAGTATTTAATGATGAAAACGTACCGTGTCTCAGCAGCCTGAATGTCACTGGAGAGAACTTGAAGGTAGATTTATAAGAAAAATGATTAAATAAAGGGTTTCATAACCAATTCAGAAATATACCTATATGTTTATTTTCCTTTCCTTAGTATTTTTTTTTTTTTTTTTGTCTACAGGAAAAAAAAAGGGATAAACAAAGATTTTTTCCTTTTTTTTTCCTTTTTTTTAAGTGGGGAGCAAAATAAATGCATAGGGACTTTACCCAGCACTTCTAAGGATCTTGGAAGTTCTACAGCTACACTGTAGTCTCTTTGTTACGGCTCTGTATGCATTTATACAAAAGAGAGATGAAAGAGGGGAGAGAGTGGTTGATATGGGTTGTGAGAAGTTGGTGGAATTAGATGACAAGGGGTCAGGTTACAGACAATGTAAGCTAAAATGCATCAAAGGATATGAAGCGAGGGACTAGATCAAAGTCTAAGAAGCCAAGTACAAGAATAAAAGAGTGATAATTGTAGGCAGTGAGAAAGCACTGGAATAGAAATGTGATAATGGTATGACCTCATGACAGGTTTTTTTTTCCCCAAGTCACCAGTTCCCTCACACAGGGCACCCAGGCTGGAGGGGGCGGTGGGAGGGAGATAGGAGCTCTGCAGTTGGAGTCTGCAACTTTTCTGCATGTTGAGGAAAACCTTGCTGGCTTTTTTTGTTTGTTTGTTTGTTTTGCAGTGCTGTTCATTCATACGTTCTCCATAGGATGACGGGGTTGCCTTTGCAGGCACTGGTATGAATCAACAAGCATAAAGTTGATGAAGGGCTCCTGGGAGGAGGTCCTGGTCTCCCACAGCCCAGCAGAATGCAGAGGGCATCAGTGGGAGTGGGTCTATTTTAGAGTCAACACCGGGCCCAATGTCCTGGAATGGCAGATTTTAAACCACCAACTGATCTTCAGGAAATTCAGTGAATGTTGCAGTGCTTCCTTGCTGATCCACATATTTATATTCAAGTCCTCCTCCTCAAAAAAATAAGCTCCTGAGACATGAATGAGGTGACCAGACAGCTCCTCTCTGCTTCACTGAGCCCTATCGAAGTCTGAGTACACTTATCCCATCATTATACAGCACCACTGCCTGATGAGCAGTAGGCAAGCATAGGGTTCTCACTGAAATGCCTGCATCTTTTTTGAAGCCATGCTTAACCAGAATTTTTCTCAAATCCATTGGGCTGTCTGTCATTTCATACCTTAGAAAATCAACTTCGGAAATCTTCCAAACAAAGATGTTTGATAAACAGATATTTCCACACTGAATGGAAAATCTTTGGCTGCCCTGGGACAGATTCTTGAAAGACTCCAAAGGCAATTAACATGTGGCTTGATGCAGGATGATCCTTGCTTTCCAAAAGCATTTTATAATTGTGTCTTCTTCATTTCTTGGATTTTCAGGTTGCAGAGGATGCAGTATCAGCCTGATGCATCTGTGAAATGCTGTTCTTAAGCTCAGACATCAATCAGTATTTCCAATGCTTAAAGGTCTCTATGTGCTCTCTGCAGGAGTTGGGCAGACAGAGCTACTGGAGTAAAGACCTCAGGCATTCTGAGGACATGGATGGTGTGGGAGAGCAGATATTGTGACAGTTTCAAGTTCACCGTGTCTCCCAAAAAGAAATTTGACAGGATAGTGGAAACATTCAATGTTGCATCTTCTCTGACTCCCTACGGGTTTTAAAGTTCAGGCTTATCAGTGAGATTCTGCTGATGCCACTGAAGAGCAGATCACACTCAGAACCTGTGCTTGCCATCACCTGGCACACCTGGGGGGCAGCAGCAGCAGAAAGGGTTCTGCTGGAGCTCCAATGGGACAGAGCTGCTGGCGGGCAGTCATGGCTGAATGCCAAGCGCTCTGCCAAGCAGCCACGCTGATGCTGACATGGGCCAGAGGTAGCTGTGAAGTGTGGCATGCTGTGTGTTGCTCTCTGCCCTCACTGAACTCTCCTGCCCTGTGCTGATAAACAGCTCAGGAGATCTTAGCATGGCGGGTCACGGTTCAGCTGCGTCAGGCCCAGCACAACTGATTTGAGTCACGGAAGATAAAGAGAATAAACGCATAGGATCTTCTGCCTTTAAAACCTTCTTGAGCCAATCAATTGTTCAAAATTTAATGTAGAGAAGACACAAATGCAGGGTCCAAAATGCCTCCTAAAACTTGGAAGGAGTATTGGCCAGCACTCTAGAAACACTCTTGAGCAGCCACATTGGCATTGCCAAGAGTCAGACCCACTTTTGTACCCAATCACCCATGGTCACACTCTGCAGACTTCAGGCCAGGTCCTGCCGGAGCCACCTGGAGGGTAGAAGGAAGTGTGGCCTGAACAATAGTATGGAAATTGGCTTGCATACCAGTAGTGAAATAGCCAGCATGAATAACAGGATAAAAGCCTTTTGAGTTATTTTTGGTTTAGTTGAATATTTGTTGTGAATTTTGACCTTTATGGATGTATTACTAAAAACTTGTCTCCCCAAGGGCTTCGTAAGTCATTATCTAATAGTGTGCGCATGTCAATTCCCAGTCCTGGATAGTGCAGAAGGGTTAGAGGACAGCATTTCGGGTACATATTAAGAATTCTGAAGAGATGTGAGAAGAATGTCTGGAAGGTTGCATTTTATTGAGCAACTGTTTGTTTTTAGGCACCTGTAGAGGCCCTGCACCCAGAATTGATGTCATTCAATTCCTTGCGGTTGTCTACCCCGGATATGTGGGTAAAAGCAACTTCCCCCAAACCAGTTCCTGTTTTGCTTTTCCATTTTCATTCTCTTTAAGGTTCTGCAAAACATGTGACATGCTATTACTCATATCTTGATGAAGCAGCAAATTCTTACAGGAATTTTCCAAACTATTAACTTCAATGCCACTTGCTTTGGATTTGACCACATAAATCATGTTCCAAAATATTGACAGTTACTGATCCCGATCCTAGGAGACGATACAGCAGCAAAGGATGATCCAGCAGCCACCATGCAGCTACTGCCCTGTATCTGGTGTGGGGATGTAACACACAAAGACTCTGACACCCTCATTACTCAAAAAGATGAAGTAAAGAAAGCTTTCAGCCATAAGCGTGGGGTCAAAAGGACAAGAAAGCCTTATGCTCTTTCATACCACATCAGTAGTCTTTCAGAATAAGCAGAAGGGAAGATTCCTATGACCTAAACCAGCTTGGCTAGCTTCCTCACTCAGAAAACCCCCATATTTTATTGCGTCCCACAATTTCGACATGAATCTAGAAATGCTGTATTCCTTTTTACCCGGTTATTCTTCCATCAATACGCTTGGCCTTGTATCAGAGAAGCAACAGTACGTCTTGAATGCCTCTTCTTAGAGGATGCAAAAAGAGAAAGGCAATCAGTAATGGGTTTTGGTGTGACGTTTGTAAGATTTTCCAGAGATGCCAAAGAGAAAATATCCCTTAGAGGTGAGTTGCTTCAAATGTTGCCTCTTTAAAGGTAATCCCATAACTGTAGTTACCTTCAGGGCCATAATCCAGAGATTTATAGCCTTTGCACATTCTTTCCTCCTAATGCATCAGCTGTGGTAACACATATCCAGTCCTGGGTGACCTGCTCTTCCCAACCCACAGCTTAATTTCCACCTGTAAATCTTAATTTCCATCCTGTAAATCTCATTGGACGCTGCTCTTCATTTATGGTCTTATAAGTGTGACCGATTCCCCAATTACTTTCCTTTCCAACTGAGTATCCCCCTTCCTAGGAACCCTCTCACAGTGAGAAGACCCCCACTGGGAAACAATCATCAGAAACTTTGCAGGTTGATTCTAACTATTCTTCACCTCCTCTTTTCTCTCTTTCTCTCTCAGCTTTGCAGAGATTCATTCTCTTGCAGGTTCTTTTGTGTTCATTCACAAAGAATGAACCTTTCCCACTCAAGCTGCTTTAATGACTTACCTCGGTGACAGTGAATTTTAGATCCTAGCTTAGTCCAAGGCCATGATTTCTACCATTTTGCGAAATGGTAGAGAGCACAAATTTCAGAATTGCTTGTGACTATGAGTTAAGTTCAATGCAGCTTTTCTAAGGCAGTTCTGCAGCAGAACTGACCTCACTGACTGAATGAATCACTTGTCCCCCAGGGGCAGGAATGTTTCTTCCAGGACAGGATTGAAGCTGCTTTCTTATAAAAGCACTATCAGACCCAAGCAGGGAGTTGGAAGCTGCCTGAGCCACACACCTGGCTTGTGGACCGTTCCTAGGCCTGCCAGGCATTTACCATTCAAAAAAATACATTCTTCATCAACTTGAGCTGAACTTTGGCAAAGGGTGCAGGGGGGAGAGAGGAGAGTAAAAGAGGGAGCAGAGATTCAAGGGCTTCAACTGGAAGTTTCTGTTGATCCCGTGGCAGATATAAATATCCATGTCTGCCCATTTTTACTTTGGTGAATTTGTTAAATGTGCCAAGACTGGAATTATAACCCTATACTAGACTTCCAGTGATTGCTTGCTAAAAAATTATTGGTTTCTCATTGAGATTATTCCAGCATCCTCAAGCGGAAGGAGCATGGAGAAGCCTCTCATGCAAACCCAGCTCTTTTGGTCAGGATTACATTCCAAACAGAGTTGTTATACATTGCCTGGACCAGTACTGAACACATCAGGACAGTGTGGAGGATTCCTTGGTTAGAGTTGGTCACGGGAATGTCACTGGCATAATGGGTAGAGGTGAAATACGTGAAGACAAGAGGTCAAGAGAGCTTGATAAATCCCAGCACTTCAGCGTGTTTTTTAAGCTGCAAACATCTGATGGAATTTTTCACATGCTACTAGCTATACATGGGCTTATTTAGATATTTGTGCCTTGATTTCAGTGAAAATAAAAGGCATAAAAAATGCTATCTATTCCTATGGCCATGCCTGAGAGATGGCGCAGCCAAGGCACAAGTGTTTTTGCATGCCTGATCCATACCTCCTGTGTGCTAAGAAGCCTTTAAGCTCTTTTTAGCTGATGAGACATAAGCAGGTGGTTCAATTGTGAACAAAATGTCAGAATCCCTTCCCAGGTACAAAACCCCACTTAGAGAGACAGTCAAGCTATGCTGATAAACGTCAACTAGCCCCAGGCATCACCAGCCCCCAAATCTCTGCTTTCAGTGCTAACATTAACTCTAATTATGTTCATCCTAAATCTGCTTCCAGTCTGCTTTCATTACCTTCATTCACGTTACTTTGCTATCGCTTGTCCCTGCTTGCTGGTCTGATCTATCATCTGACCTATTAGCAGATCTGATGCTGTGTCTTTATATTCATCATCAGCTTGCATGTGGCACTTCTGCTTTCCCTGCAGTGTAGCTGGTACACTTCAGTCCAAACTTCTTATACTGGAAAGCTGCTTCACATCTGCTTTCTGGGTATTACCAAAAGCCTGTTCCTCTATCACTGAGGTCAGTAATGAGAACAAACACAAAAATCCCAGTATGTCTTCAATAGGAAAGTGTCCTGTGCACCACACAAACAAATAGGACGCACGTTAGACAAGGCATATAAATAAAGTACCTTTGTTGGATTCCAGCAGCTCTGGTGACTTGGAGGACTGCATAAGACAGGTTTGTTTTCACACAGATGCTCGCTCTCCCGCTTGCAGATCTTTCTAACACCTACAGAGAACAGAGATGTAAACATATTTGGGGAATGACAACTCTGCTTTCTGCAGAGCAGTCACATACAAAGCTCTGAGATAACAAAGGCCTGTTCTGATTTCCCCATGCTGTTTCAGACTCTTGTGCCAACCAGTAGTGCTGCCTGCAGGTTACAGCAAGGAACACAGCACCCCAAGGGCCTGCATTTTCAGATGTACAGAGCACCCAAACTTCCCAGTGTTGACCATGGGTTGTGTAGGTATTCTGTGTTTCCAAAAACCACATTTACAATTTAGATCAGTACTTTATATCTGCGTGAATACAAAACCAGAACATTATCTCAGCATTTCTGGAAATGCCTGGGCACTTGCAACTTCCACGTTGCCTAGTAAGCACTGCAGGTGTATTAGCTCCAAAATAAGACAGAAGTCCAGCACTTTCCCTTGGAGGAGTGCACTATGCCAGGTATGACTGCCAAAAGGACATATCGAGATCAGAAAAACGTATTCACTTCTTCAGAGCCTTGTAATATTCTGCAATTGATTGTAATAAGCCGTGAGCCCTTGAACAGAAGGTGCTACTGAACTGCAGATCAATTTCTGTGGGTAGATGTTACATTCTGCAGTACTCATGAGATGGAGAAGGAAAATGATATCTTGAACACATTCTCAAAACTATTTGTCATTCCTGTGTGCTGTCAACCAGTTGGCATAAGAGACAGATCTTTAAGGGATACTGAATGAGGAGCTACTTCCCCAACATAACAAGCTTTGTTTACTGAATTTGTGTGCAGGATATTTACTGATACACAACAACATAAGGGCATTTTATAATTTCCTAATATCTACGATGTGCTGTTTGCTGTTACTGAGTCCTTGTTGACCCCATTGCTAAGGCCAAGGATTAGTTACCCCTCACAGAAGGTTTGCTTCTTCTATTTCTCAATTTTGATATTGCCACTTACGTAAAACGTTACCACACAATTTTGGTTACCATCCATGGTGCTGGGCAAGCAGGATTTCATCACGTCCTTTGCTACAGAAAATTAATAAAATTATTGGGGCACATCAAGTCTATCCACCTAAATCTTGTTTTGAAATTTCTTTCCTTTTCTACAGAAATAGGAACATGCATTCACTTACACCAAGTCAAGTCAGCGCTGGTGGGGATAAGAGGCAAACTTTTAGGAGAATCATTTGAAATTCCCACTTTCAGTCTCTTTTTGAGCTTCATACAACATTATTCTCTTGCTGTTTTACTGCTTTACACTTTGACAAGATATGAAAGATGGAAAAATATCTTGGGCTGACTGGCTGCAGATTGCCACTGATGCACAGAGTCCATTCTGTAATGTTTAGCACTTTTCTGGGTTGGACCTTCAGAAAGATGGCAAAGAGGAGAGTCATTCAGGGTTACTTTCGTGAGGGGATTAATGCCTTTATCAACTGACTTGCATGGAAGAAAATTTAGCAGATGCTGCAGAGTTTCAAGTGTCCTTTGAAACACCAGCAAAAATTCTTTATGCTCACTAAGATCAGATATGTTTGTGACAGTTCCTATTCAACCGTGTTTGCAGTTTGCATATTTCTGTGTAAATGTGTGTCTTACAATTAGCTTGAGGATGTGCTTACAGTTGCTTTTACAAGTCCTCATTCTTGACAGTTTTACGGATGTTTGCACTAAGTAGCTTTTAGTGGCATACTGGTGAAACTAGGCACCTTGTTTTCCTTTCTTAAAGGCCCTTGGTTCTAATACCTACAAAGGCTAATCCATTTGCCTCAGCTAATCCAGTCTAAAAGTACTCCAGTGCACTTGAAAGGATGTCCTGTGAGCAAAACATCTCACCTTGAGAATGGGGAAAAACTTGTTTTTGGGGGCTGCTTCCCTCTGAAGCAGCAACTCCAATTGGCTAATCTATTTAGCAAAATTAATTAGAGGGCCACGGATTGAGTTTCATGGCAGACTAAAGCCCAGCTTTCTCAAAGAAAGGAATTCATTGTTGAACCTTTGATGGTCTAAAGGAGGAGAGGTGCATTCATATGTTTTGGGTAACTCCTTCATCATTACCAAGATAAAATAAAAAGGCTTTAAGGTTTCTTTCACCAATCACCCCACAGGTTGGCAATTATATAGGATTACTAGTATCCCATAGACCTGAGCTACCAACAGCTATTTTATTCACTTGTCCAATGCATTTTATGGTAATAACAAAAGAGTTTTTCTGGCTGTTTTGTGGTCCATACAGACGAAGGAGGGGGAGCTCTTATTTTTGTTTGTGTTTTGAGTGGGGGTGATGGGCAAAAGAGTGGTTGTTCTGCCAAGAGATTAGCATGAAAGAACGAAATGAAATGTTTCAGTCTTGTTCAGCTCTAGTCTAATCAAGCCTACTCTCAAATTAATGAGCTCTTACCGGGGGGAACTTCTCTGGATGCTGGAAGGCAGCAGTAAAGCAATATCCTTTTTGGCTTCAGATAAAACACTGAAAGAAGCATTTTTCATCTTTTAGGGTTTGATTTAATGCTACGCTGACTAGCTGGGTTTGTGTTTATTGGAGGCATTTTTCTAGAGAGCTGAACAAATTGCCAATAATTTGAGGGTTAGTATTCTGGTCTATTTTGGCTCACAGTGAATGAAAAATGTAGGAAAAGGAAATCTAGCAAGGGAAAATATTTCCACTTATTTTCTGAGGAAGACTTCCTAAACCCTCTTCAGATCATAGCAGTCCTTAAGTCCTTCTAATAGCCTTTCCTTCTCTCCTGAAATTCATGGAGTCATAGAACCGTTTGAGTTGGAAGGGGCCCTGGAAGGCCACCTGGTCCAACTGCCTGCACTGAACACGGTCATCCATACCTCCATCAGGTTCTCAGATTCCATCCCCTGACCTTGGCTGTTTACAAGGATGGGGCACCCTGGGAACCCTGTGCCAGTGCTTCACCATCTTACTGTAATATAGCTAGTTTCTTACATTCAATCTAGATGTTCTTTATTTTAGTTTGAAGCCATTTCCCCTTGTGCAATCACAATAGACCCTGGAAAAAAGTCTGTCCCCTTTGGATGCTTTATCTGGCTGCCTTGACTTTTCAAATGTGACGTAGAATGGCTTGGTGACTACGTCAGCCATTTAGGACTCTAGGACACACCTCATATACATAATGTATACATGTTCATGTTCCTCAGGTGGTCACAAAAGGGATCTTCACTTACATTGCTCCCCATGTCCCCACCTTCTGACCCATCAGCTCAAAGGGCACACGAGGAGTGCTTGCCACAGAAGTTGTTCAGATCTAGAGTGACAATTCTTCTATTTCTAGAGAAATCTTTTCTTAACATATATCTGGTATCAACAATGGCTCACGAGGCCACAATCCAAGGAACTCGTCTACAACTGATCTGAAGTACAGGCACAGGTTTGCAGTGCCTTGGGGCTGTAGTTCCTGGCACCATGGAGCAAAACTACATGGGAAGGGCTTCTGAATGCCAACACATTCAGGTCATGTTGAGGTATTCCATGCTGCTTACAGCCAAATTCATATGTTTTTTACAGTTACACCCACATGCAGTTTTATATTACAGAAAGCTAAAGCTGGCAGTTCTCACGCTTGCACAGCAGGAAATGCCCATTGAAGTAGCATGTGCAATTGTCACTTGTCCTTTTGCTTATCTATCACATTGCTTTGATGAATTATCTCAACATGGGCTATTTTTCTCACTTTATTTACCACAAAGGGCAGTGAACGCTCACGGAGTCCATGTGTGGTTTGTATTCTCTTCTAACTTCAGCATTTCAAAAGTATTTTCAGTTCTTATCTACCATTCTCTATATCCAAGCATTGTACTAGACCAGGTGTGTTCATATATTCTTTGAGTTTCCTATTATATTGCCATGATAGCTTAGAATATTTCACAAGCATCAGTTAATCTTTACAAAACCCTTGTGAGATAAGGCCCAGACGGATTAAGCCCAAACTTGTCACATTTTCTAATGCAAGTCACATAGGGGCTGACTAACAACATATCCTGCACTTTGACTGGGCAATCTATGTAAAAAACACAAAAATGTAAAAACACTCTCATTGTTCCAGATCTAGGTGAAATCCTCTTTTTTCTTTTTTCTTTTTCTTGTATTTCAGGCTAGATCATTCTGTGTCTCAGGGAAACGTAGGAAAGAAGTAATTCACCATGAGTGAAGTCATATGGAAATTTTACTCCAAGTTATACATACAGCAGCATACAGCTCCCTGGCAGACTTCAGAAGAAAATGCAGGATTTGGGTCTGAGTTTTGGTTCCCTCAGCCCCACCATCATCTATGCTCCTGGTCACAGTCCCTGCCTCGTTCACTGTCTACATTCCAGCTCCTGAGATATGTGAGGCAATGGCCTGTCTAACAACAGCCTCCTTCAGCACAAACCATGATTCATTTCCTCAGTATCATTCTCATAGTGTGCTAGAGGCCAAAATGACAATCAAATTCAGTTCTTCTAACATTCACTAATGGAATACTCTTGGATTAGTTTTTTAAGAATTAAAACAATTTTTTAAGAAAGACTTTCTAGTGGTGGAAACATGCTGAGTTTCACCTGCCCAACCAGCAGGTATGGACAAGGACCTACAAGAGGAACTAAAAAACAGTATATATGCAGCACTTTCTGCTCTGATGAGGAATGAGGCAAAGGGAAGAAACCGGTCTCAAAGTTTGGAAGAGGACACAGTATCATCCTAAATGCCTATTAAGCCACCCAGTTCTTACCATCTGCTCATGTTGCATCCCAGCCTTCTTCTTGCTTCACTCTGGAATCCACCAACTTCTTCATTTCAGTCTTCAGTGCTGTTGGGTGAGCTGAGGCTGGAAGATGTCTTGTTCCAGATCCCCCTACAGAACGATAGAAGTCAACCTGGAACAGCACATGTGAATACATGACTTGGTTACTGAAGTTGTGGTCTTTGAGATCACTGTGGTGTCCTCAAGAGTTTCACCATTTTCCGGTGAGCTTCCTAAAAGCTCATTTTTAAGCTCCTACTCCACAGTAAAACAAAGCAAATTTCTGGACAAAAGATCTGAAAAAGAATCTTAAACTTATTCAAATTATTTTTTTCTTGTTTCATCCTTTTAAAATAATGAAAGTGTTTTTGCTAGATGTTCCCAATCACAGAAAATTCTAGTAGGGACCATTTATAAAGCCCAGTCCCCAGCTTTCTGTAATTTTGCCAGATGCTTCAGGAAGAGGCAGGCTGCAGCAGCAGCAGCTGTTGGTGTCAGCTCCATGTGGAATGAC